AAACATTGCAGATCAGACTGAAGTAATGATTCAATTATATAACATCCAGTATAAAGACCCGGGATAGTGAATAACATCCCATAACCACTGCCTGCATCGTAAATTGAAGATTGACTAATGCATGTAGCTGAAGAAGTACACGTACAATTACCATACGAGCATGGAATTCGACGCATAGCACCGGCCGATATATCCAGCTTGTAATTAGTTAGTCTACCACTGAATAAGCTGTTACTATGTGTTATGTTTCTTATCATAGCAAGTGATAACAAAAATCCAGTAGCTGTTGTTGATTTAAATTGAGATATAAATGCTTTGGTTTGTAGTTTAAATACATTTGAAGGTGTTACAAATGCACTTACATATTGATTCGAATAGAACTGAATTAAACTATTCGATATTGTTTGATTCACTAGTGTACAGAATGCGCTCATAGTTTGAAATGTAAATGTACTGGTAAATCGAAAGTCGGTGGGGTTTGGTTCATAGTTTCCATAGTATTCATAGTATTGATATTTTTCAAAGTATTCATACTGTTCATAGCTTTCATAGATGGCAAGATAATCGATCCATTCTTGTGTAATGCCAAGATAATCGATCCAGTTTTGTGTAACAAAATCACTGTAACATACTTGATGTAATGTGTACTGAATTTGAATAAATTTTTCATATTTGATTGATACTTGTGTACATTCACATGTTAATGTTTGACTATATGAGTTATAGAGTTGTTCATACTCTATAATAGAAGGTGCTTTGACATTAACCGTTTCTGTAATATTTATCAGTGATGTATATAAAAGAAGAATAAATAATAATATAGTTAATAAAAAGATGAATAATCGTGTTGAAATGCGTTGATTTCGAAGTTGATGTTCATGGGTAGTTGGTGGAACAGATGGAAATAAATTGAGATTTAAAAAGAAAAACTTTGATTTTTGGTATAATGTTCGAACACGTTCATTGATGCTCATCACTTGAAAAGAATAATAGTAATGAGCATTTAGTTTATATATAGAAGAAACAAGAGATTTGTTTCTGTGAAAAAGAATTATGAGGAGTATCGATGTACATAACTAACAATGTGGCTCTTCTCTCTGTGCTCTGTAGACCACAACATATACTACATGAAAGATAAAGATGCAGATGATTGGGTACAAATGTGAACATTGTATTCATCGCTCACGCACGCATTCATAAACTCACTCTTATGCATATTCTGAAAAAATAGCTCATGAAAAATGCTCAGATTATATCTGTTTCAATCATTTATTACGATATGAAGATGTTTGTAATTGCTTTCATAATCCAATGAAAAATATTCAACCGTTACACATTTATCTTGAAATATACTCTCGATTGATGCCTACACATTCACAAATAATAGAACAAGAAAGCTATAAAAAATAGATCGTTCAAAGAAGTACAGAGATAAAGAAGAGAATAGATCGTCGATACGCTCGAAAAACAAACTGGTGCTACACTGAACCA